GCCCCCGCCCGCTCGCGGAGGGGCGGGACACGGCCCGGCCCGACCCCGCGAGGCCAATCCCGGGCCAGCGCCAAGGCGGTGGAGCCAATGGACGACGATCTCCTGCCGGGTGGGCGGGCGCTGAGCGGCTGTCGCCGCGGCGGCCTCCGGGCCTCGCCTTGGCCTTCCCCCCTTCCCCCTTCAGCGGGCGCTCCCGGCGTGTCGCAGTGCAGCGTCCCCACCCGCCTGGCGTCTTGCCTCTTAGCAACCAGATATTCTGAGCCTGATCTTTGGTGACCGAGTCTGATTTGAGTTCAGAAGAGGAGATAAAAGAACTCAGTGAATGGATAACATGAATGGTGGTTGGTGCGGGTCATTTTGATATACTTTAAGGAGAGTGGGAAAATATCTTGGGTGAAGCACTGTCTTTATGAGGAGGTGTTTGTTGAAAATGTAAATAGTTCCAGGTTATAAGTTCAGTTTTCATACATCACCGTGTATGTTTTTGTGGTGACTGGAAACCTAGTGAAATGTATAAAGCACCGTCTTGTGAGATAAATGCTAGGTTAGTATTTCTAGTTTTCACTGGAACGTGTCTATTCTGAGAGCTAAAACTAAATGCTAATAAGATCTGTGACTAACTACAGAATATTTTTCTTCCAGTTGTATCACCTGTGACTGTCTGCAAGTCTTTCTTTTTGTTCCACAGAGACATTAAAGTTATGGAAACCTGAGCCATAGAAATATTGGTTGACAATTTTTAGAGAGAAGCTACATGGTCTCTGCTCTTTCCTATCACACAAGCTGGAACTCAGTTGTGATAGTGGCCAGCCAGCTTAAACCTTGTGGACAAGGGCAAGTCCCATATGGGATTGAAGAGCAGTAACAGGGAAGGAATCTGGGTCCTGAATTACATTGTAAAGGACAGCGGTTAACAAGCACTGTACTGCCTGCCTATCTCTGGACTATTACATGAGGGGAAAAAATATATATAGAGAGAGATATCTCTCTATATATCTCTCTCTCTACATATATTTCTCTTTCAAATTACAGTAGAGGTTTCTCTAAAATTATGTATTTGTTAACTATATATATAATATATATATTTGATAGCCTTAAGGCTATATATATATCTATAGATAGATAAATACATACACATATACATTTTGCAGGCCAGAACGCTAGTGACTCTTACCAGATCTGTTGAGCCAATGGTCACCTGTGTTCACTTGGAAGGCAGTTTATTAGCTTTTAACTGTGGTGTTTTAGAAAAGGTCAGGATGTCTGTTTGTTTTGGCTGCCACGAAAAGCAAGGTTCAATAACATGAAATCAGTTAAACACTTGCAAGCAGATAGAAGAGACTGCTGCTCTACAACTGGACCCTATGCATAATATCTGCTATTGCTGTTGATCCTATACTATCAATCTCTGAGAGATCTTTAATTAATGTTAGTTTTTCCTCATCACTCTTCAGCCTTTTCTTGAGCAACACAGAATTAAGAATGACACAGAAATCTCTGTTGAGAGATCACCTTTAGTCTTTTCATTTTAAGATCAAGCATGCAGTTTAAGTAACTTATCCAAGTTCAAACAGCCAGTTAGTTTCAATGAATTTGGCCTAAAAAAGAATCTCTCGTTGATACTATACAGACATACTTTGAGGCTTTTTCTGCAAAAAGGGCAATTTCATTTAAGACTCCCATCTTTCCCTTCCTCAAGTCTAATTCTTTTGCTTTGATAAGCTTATCTACCCCTCTGATTGTTGTAAAAAGAGACCCAACAAACAGTGGTTTAAATGGTGAAAATTTATTTCTCTCTCAAATTACAGTAGGAGAGAGTCTCTCTAAAACCATATGCCAGGCCCACTCTGTTTATTTCACCAACTATGACATATAATATCCACTTCAGCATCTGAATTGGTTGTACAAGGTTCATTCTTAATTTCACACCCCACAGAAAGGAATGGGGAGAAAGGGAAAGGAATGCATGCCCCAGGACTTACAAAGGATGACCCAGAAGGCACATGCATCATTTTCACAGTTGATATATCCCACTGGTACAGTTTTGTATCCAATAAAAATAAAGGAATTCACCGTTGAGTTAATCAGATTTGGAGGATGAATTAGCAGTCTGTACAGTAGTCTAATTTCAAGGATTTTATGTTACTCAGACCTCTACTATTGACATCGTTTGAAAAAATTACTTTCAAAAC